GACTTCATGGCTACATCCCGAGAAAGCTCCCCCGCCGTTGCGGAAAAGAAAATTATAGGTATTGCGGGCCAATAGGAAACGTTTCACCGCAAAAAATATATGACAATCATATTTTCTGTATATTTTTCATTTTTATAAATAATCTACCGTTTTTTATGTCTTAAGTTATATAGATATAATATTAAATATATATATAATTTATATAAATACTCTATACAGGAATGTTAAATTTACTATTTTAAAATAATAGTTATAATTGATAAAATTACTTAATTACGCTGTTAATATAAATTAGGTATAGTTAAGTAACTTTCGTGTAATGCAAGTAAATGTAACTGTAATTCGTTTAACTTTACATCACATTTCGCAGCACTTCCGTGTTACGCAAGAAAATATAATTATAAGTAATACCCTGACATAAATTTTATTTATATATATAAATTTCATTTATGTTAAAACATTTATAATTATATTTACTTGCGTAACGTAATGAAAGAATCGCGAGTTAAGTTGCGACGCGAATTAAGTGAACAAATTAATTACGTTAATGGAACACGGCTATCAAAGAATTTATGGTCGAAATGAGAAAAAGTTCTTACCCCGGAGTAGTCGTCGCGCGCGGGAAAGAAAAGTTACACGTTGTTACATGAATGAAAAAAAATATATATTTCTCACGAGCGACTAATTACGTTAATTAACAATTAGGCTATAGAGAGGGATGCGCCACGGATTATTCGCGCTTCTCGCGCGTCTTTTCGCAATTCCGAATTGCGTCCCGCGGGAGGGACGTAATTTCGATCTGGAAGAGGCCGGGATGCTACTCGCGTCCGACGTTTACAAGCTTTATTTTCCGGTGCGGCGACGTATCGGGATGCCGTCGTCGTCCCCCTTACAAGTTGCGGTATCCTCGACGGGGCCGTAAGTCACGACGCGGCGTCGTCCACCACTCGAAATTACTCGGACGCGATATCGAGTGACATCGAGCGTACACAGGGGCGGTTCGTCAAGTGGGAGGGAGGGGGTGGGGGTGGGTGAGGGCAAAGTGACATTGTTTCGAGCGAATGATGAACAGTAGGCGGTCGCGGAGTTGTCCGAGTTGTCGGGAAAAGTCGGGGAAATTGAAAGCGATCCGGGGCGCGGCGAGTCAAAGGGAAACGGCTGCGGTGAGTTTCCACTTCGATGATTGACAGCGACGCGATAGAAGATCGTTTGATCGGCGACATAATCACCGATGCCTGAACATTATCGAGTCCTTGGACCTTAAGCGTTATCAATCAAACGTGCGAACATTAATTAAAGAAGACAGCTGACTTTTTAGTGTCTAAGTATTAAAAGTGTCGTGAAACCTTTGGAAACGGAGTGGTAAAACATGAGATGTAATAAATATAAAAAATAAGAAAGAATAAAATAATATGGAAAATATAGCAAGGTATAGGATTACCAGTGTCTACTTGCGCGTTTCATATTTTACTTCTCATTTCGGTCCATCATGGACAATAATATGCGCGGAAACGTTGCGACATACAGGGTAGTTTTTAAGTACCATCCAGTATTTTAGGAATTGATTTTTTTAAACATTTTAGGAAGAAAAAAAATTTGTCTGTATAATTTTCTTCACAAAGCGATCTCAAACGTCAATTTCTAAAATATCGAACAGTACTTAAGAAACATCCTGTATACATTGTTAAATGTTAAAGAATGAAATTTGAACCAATACCTTGAGTTAAATAACATTTTGTTATTTTTAACTACCATGTGTGTTGCAATTTATTATTTCAACTCCATTGATTTAGTTAAATTAACGACATATTGAATAAAAGCAGTGACAACCTATAAGAATAGTTAAAAATGACTCAAATTAAATATAATTTGACACTACGAATTTAACAATGTAGGGGAAGACATAAATAAAGTTTCGTGTTACAAGATCGTAGGAAAAAATTTGCTGGCAATCGGGAAATGGTCTTCACATGGTCTTCATATTTTATATTTGAGCTTAATATCAAATATAAAATAAATCTCGACTGAAATACGGTTATTTAACTATAGTGTCATATTAATATATAATATAATAGGTTTCACATATTTTAAGATTTTAATTCTAACAGAAGATATCTATACTAGTTCGATTCCAACAACGTTAGATTTCTCTTGGGTCTTACGACGACCTTTCGGCGGAATTTTTGACACGTACTTACGCTGCGGCAGGTTTTCAAATCCGGAAAAAGGGTCTCAAATCCCGCACGACGGCGCGGCAGCGGCGGCGCGCTCTAATTTTCTATTTCCGGCTTGTACTTCTCTCGGCGCGACCGCGGCTTAATTAGAGGCACGAAAAGTGGAAAGCGGACTGGAGGGAGAGAGACGGAAAAGGGATCTCTCGCGCGCGCGAGCCTCGGCCCTCGGCTCTCTTCCCGAGATAAAAGATACTAACTTTCGAGCTTTATCGCGGCGCGCCGGATCTGGACTTGTGTGCTCTCGGGGATAAATACGCCTTGGCTTCGTTATCGATCCCGGCGACGACGCACCGTCTGATAACGCGGAAGACGAACTTCATCGTTTTCTGCGGATTCTTACGAGTGTTTCCGTCGCCCCGCGACTCTTCTTGCGCTCCGCGCCGGCCACTCGGTATCGCGCGACCGAAGAAAACGCGACTTCAACTGCTGGGCTGAATGGCACTTGAATTCAATCATAAGAATGTTACACATGTGTCTATAATTGAATTAAATGTACTTTATAAGATTACAAATCACGATTCTTTTATTGCAAATCTTGCAATTAGATTAAATGCGTGATTTGTATAAATTAATCGTTGTTTTGATTAAACTGGCCGCGATTAAAATCGATTATATAAAGTATCGGGATACTTCGGCATTATTTTAGAAATTATACTGATAAACGAATTCATTATTGTTCGGAAATCAGAAATTGTTCTGTATTGTAACTTCATATGAGTGCAAAATATTCTGATGAATTTATCTTTTTTTTTTTTATTCTGCTCGTAGTTATATTTATTTTACAATTTCCTGTCATCGGTGAAAAGAGCGCAAATAAATAAGCTTTTTAAAGTCTTTTTATTACGATCTTGAAAACACGTAACGTAATTTATTTCAAAATATCCGACTGAAATGTATAGATTTTATGCTTTCTTTATTATTTTATCTTTTATATCCTTTTAATCTTGGATAAAAAGATAAATAAATCTATATTTAGCGGCTTTTTCATTTTTATTGTATTTATTAGCTGTTAATCCTATTGATAACTCTGTGACGCACGAGTGTTTTTCTCGCGTAGAATAAAACGCCGAGAGGTGGATGTTAAATAATACAAACGTAATTTTATTTTTAGTCAAATTCTAACCCGTCCGCCCTCAGAATGGACAGAGCGACACTCGATTATTCGTCTGCGCATATAACGCCGCGGGCGTAGATCTAATTCGAGAATGATAACGCAGTTCAAAGACCTATGTATATACTTCCTCGCCTTGCAAGTCGAACCCCGAATAGCCGAATAGCTTCATCAGTATAACATAATCAATTGGATTGCCCACCGCGATTGGTCGGTCCGCCCGCGGATATAAACGGATAATGCAAATAACGCCGAATCTCTCTCGCGCCGATAATTACAATCATTCATGGAGTAACACGCGGCGTGCCGGGGTCGCGCGACCGCATATAATCCACGTGAATAATCAATCAACGAGTACGACTATTTTCGAAACGCTCTCGTACGTTCTAGTTTTGTGGCTTGAAAAAAGAGATACGGGGCGACCGATCGCGAGCAAAACGCTGCGGCGAGGAAGAGGAGAGCGCATGTGTCGCGCAAAACTGAGCTATGAACTCCGGATTTAGTGTCGCGCGATGGATCCTTATTTAATTTGGGAGGGTTCAAAGGCCGAAGCTCGAGGGGATCGGAGCGTTTAGCGACCGGAACGTATCCGTGGAACCGAAGATAAAAAAAAAAGGATACTGCGAAAAGAGGATTGAAGGTTTTTAAATGTGCAAGAATGCGAGGGACCGAAGTCTCTAAGAGGATTCTAACATATAAAATTTAAGACCTGAGGATGTCCTCAAAGAGAATCCAACCATTATAAGAAGTATAATTTTAATCATAATTTTTACGGAGAAAAGATTTTCACATTTCTTCTTCCACAATGGATCTTGAAATTTTCTTAATTAATATTCAGCGAATATTAAAATTTGAGTAGGGAGAGTCCGGGAGATTTGTTGACCATAGAGGAGAGTTGAACCACTTCAAATATCTCGTTCAAATTTTGCGCCAAGCGCGCAATTGTTAAGTTGCTGTATTATATTATATTGTTGTATTTATAAAATACAACAATATAATATAATACAACAACTTAACAATTGCGCTTGACGCAAAATATATTTATATAATACAACAATATAATATAATACAGCAACTTAACAATTGCGCGCTTGGCGCAAAATTTGAACGAGATATTTGAAGTGGTTCAACTCTCCTCTATGGTCAAGTCTCCCGGACTCCCCCTAATCCAGAGGTATATCAGAATATAAAGTTCCACATCAAACACGGCACGATATATTGACATTATTTTCCTCGTTAGAACCAAAGTCCCTTTGAAAATGCGTTAAAATTCCATCAAACTAAAGATCTAACGCAAAGTTAAAGGACGGATAAAAAGTTCCATTTGCATTCTCGAAGTTTGATCTTTGAGGGTGCTCTTCATTATTAAACAGATAGTGCAGCTTCCGCGTTGCTTGCTCGATCTCGAGGATGAACCGGCCGGCCGTTAAGAGCCTCCACGCGACGATCGCGCGGGACTCAAAGGGAATACGCGAACAGGACACTCGGTATGTATCCATCCGCGAGTCTCAAGGGATTCTGGAAACTCGAAACACGGCGTCGGCCGATCGAGCAGCTCCTCGGAATCTCCAGCTACTCCAGCTAACTCTACGGTGGTACTACTCCCCCGGCGTGCATCTTACGCGTTACTCTCCGTTCTTCTCCCCCTGGCTTACCTTTTCTACGACTCGCTACTCCACGCGCGACGTCTCCCGTCACATTCCACGTATCAGCCGCGACACCCGTTACCGCCGCAGGAAACACGATCCGCCTCGTGACTGCCGTCCTCGTCGTCGTCGTCGTTGTCGAGTGGTCCCGCGAGTCCGCCGGTATCATCCACGCCTTTGTCCGGCCGAGACGCGCGTCACGCGCGAAATTTTCCAACTCTTTTTGAGAAAATCTCCGCTTCCTTGATTCAATAAGGCCAACCGGCATCAAGCCACGCGCTTCCTCAAGCACCTCGGCGGTGCGCACATGGGGGGCACCGGTTGTGCCGTCTATCTCTCTCTCGTTTCGAGTTTCCTCAGTAATAAAAGATCCTCCGAATAATAAACTTTGATGTCCCGTCGAAATTAACGTTTCGTCTTTCCTTCGCAGAGGTGGAACGACCGTCGGGACCGTCCTTTCGGCCTTCGGGAGAAGCGCAGGATGCACACCGCCGCGCCGAGGCATGCACCGCAACTAGCCGCCCGCTTCGCCGGTCGGATCTCCCTTCAGGGCGCCGGACATCTCTCGCAGGAAGCCGCGGCTCGCAGAATTATCTTCTTCTCTTAAACGGACCTTTCTCAGCTCTTCCTCATTTAGCGTCTCCTTCTGACGCCGATCCCAAAAATCCGTCCTTCGATCACTCGCGCGCTTAAACGTTTCTCTTATTCTCCGCAGGATTCCGGATAGTAAAATGGGACCTGAAGGGACGGGTAATAGACCTCGAGACGGAGAGCGTGCAGTGGGCACCGTTGTTGCGGCTAATGGATCTGCTTTGAGGCGAGTCACTCGGGGAACGTCACGTCGCGGCGAGTGTCAGGAGGATCACAGAAAATCCGCCTCCTGCTGCTGCACCGCTGCTGCCTTGGTCCTGGTTCAACCGCGGCGAGGAACGCGGTCAGCACGCCTTTCTCGCTCGGTGCTCCGTTCCTCGCGGAGTGGTTCTCTCACTCTCTCTCTTTCTCTCTCTCCTTCTCTTTCTCTCCTTTCTCTCCGGAAGTCACGACCTCTACGCCAGCGAGCGAGAGAAAGAGAGGGAGATAATCGCGAGCCAGCGAACGACGTGCAGTCCGCTCCGAAAAACGTTGTTGCTCCGAAACGACGTAGCGATGCCGAAGGACGATGCTGCGACGGCGAGGAGCGAGGACAGACGTCTCGTCTCGTTCACGCCCCCGTCCGTTCCCCTTTCTTTCACGAACGCGACACGACCACGGGGACGCCGCGCTCGCACGGGGGGGAGGGAGGCGTTGGCGGCGACCTTCCCCGACCACCACTCGCGGAATAACAATAATCGCCGAGCGAGGCACCCGCCGCGTTATCGGAGAGACGAATGGAGACGTGGCTCCTCCGTCGTGGCCCGAGGAACGCGAGGCTAGAGAGACAAGGCTCTAGAGGCACCGAGTACGAAGAGGTGGGAGAGGGGGGGAAGAGGGTGGAGAGCACGAGTGTGCGTATGTGTGTGTGAGAGAGAGAGAGAGCGCGTTAGAGCCGTTTCTTTCGGGAGCGAAGGAAACCGAGCGCTCGAGCGACGGAGGATTCCTCGAGGAAAGCGACGCGACGCGACGCACGTGCGGCAAAACGCGCGAGCACCGGGTTGCCGCGGAACGCGGGCACACGTTATTATTGTCCTTCTTTTTTTCCCCCTCACGGATGACACACGTCGCCCGAGAGAGCGAGCAGCGAGTGGCGGCGGCGGCGACAGCGGTCTCGCGGCTCTCGCCTCCTTCCTCGCCAACGCCTACACGATACACATTGCACGCAGTAGCAACGACGCCCCTACACGCCGAGCGTCAGTGGTGCTCAGCGAACGGCGTCCGTCGGCGACCGCGCCGGGATACTGAGAGCCACGTTTCCAACGATGCCGGAATGATTTTTATCGATGCAATCGAGGGTATTTCCTTTTGTATTTAGGTCGACAATTTTTCAGAATTTTACCGTGCATTGTATTTGGCGCTTCGATTGTTCGTGATCACTTTTTCTCAAGTTGGAGAAAATTAAATGCTCAACGAAATATAGGGATGTTTTAGTTGCATGTTTGTGACGCTGGTTATAGTGAAATTCTTAGATTTTCTAGTAACTTTGGCGCTAATAAGCTTGTTCGCGTTGCTTGAAATCCCCAAACATTTTTGCACTTGAAATGAGATAAATATATATTCGGCCGTTGGAGAGAGAAGAAAGCGAAGATGCTGAGTGCAAAAAATGCAAGCAACGCGAACAGAGTGTAGATATATAGTTTATTTAGAAACATATATGTATCCCTAGATATAGAATACACTAGATATGCTAGTTATTCAGCTAATTTTTATTCCCTAGCTAATTAAATCTCAATGTTTATAATAATTTTAAGAATATATAAAGCACGATAAAATGTTATAATAATTTTGCTTAGAGCCAGTTTTAAAATATTTAAAAAAATTTTGTTTGCATTTTAATAATCTCAAACTTTTCTTCACATTAATAAAAGAACTATAAAAGGTAAGTAAATCATATAATACCGTGAATAATTCTATAAAAATATACCTTTATACTATTATACATAATGTAAACCTACGAATATAAATACATAACGTACAAAGGCAAATTAATTTTTTTACAATTTGCATGCCATCAAGATAGTAGAAAACACATTTAAAAGTTGCAGATATTCATCGCTCCCTTCTGTTAATCTGTAATCACATTCCTAAAAAAAAAAAATTTTCTCATTTACATTCAGTTTATATTATTCTTTTTGTTTATATATCTAAGAAGTTACTTATACTTACACCAAGCACATCACCAATCATCGCTTTTTGTTTGTCAGTAAGTTCAACGGAGAAAATAATTTTCTCGTTCAATTGTTCAATTACCTGAAATTTAACATAATCAAAATCAAACAAAATTGATCTAATCAATTGATCTAATCAGTATTATTTTTTTACTATCATTATTTAAAACATTTTTAATTTAACAGATTATGGAAATAATTAAGACAATACTTGTGATCCCGGATATCCTTCCAGCAGCAAATTTTCGAGTAATTTCTGGACATTATTGTAACTCCCCTTTTTACAAGCCTCCCACAGTGTATTAATTTGATCATCGGGAACCAGCTAAAATGATAAATGCACACCACAATTCAAAATTATTCAATCTCGTCATACAAAAACAAAATTTTTACAGGAACCTATATTTACCCCGATAACGTCGAGTGCATCGTCTACGGTAATCTCGTAGTCTTTTCCCTTCAATCGTGTGATCGATTGCAAGCACATGACAGCCTGTCTCAAATCGCCACCCGATGCTTCAACGATTTTCTCCAAGACTTTTCTGTCAGCCTTCAGACTTTCCTCGTTGCATATGTACGCGAGCCTGGCAATACTCTTGTCGTCGGTCAATGGCTTGAACCGGAATTTGGTACAGCGCGACGCAATCGGCTTGATGATTCGCGACAGATAATTGCACACCAGACAAAAGCGCGTGCTATGCGACTCTTTTTCCATAATCCGACGAAGCGCCGTTTGCGCGGCGCCGGTCATACTGTCTGCTTCGTCCAATATGATGATCTTAAATGGCGGACATTTTCTCCCGCTGTAAATATAAAAAATTAATTTCATTAATCCATTGTATTATCTATTTTCATTAATTAATATTAAGTAAGAATTACATAATGCCTCAGATTGTGCCGTTTTGATCATAAACTGCAGTACGGCGCGCAAGACGTTCAAAAGAGATGATCAACTTTCAAGTATTTGCGTCAGATCAATTCGACTTGTACAATTTTTTTTTTTGCGTTTATAAAATAAAATTGTTTGTAAAAAAAACATTTAAAATTTAGTTGTAGTATTTAATTATCTCAAGTATAAATATAAAATTTTCCTTTAAGAAAAATATAACCAATCTTGATAACATTTAGGCGACTCACGCAAATATTTGAAAATTGAAAATGTTTGCTCACGCTTCTCAGAAGGTCACTAATCTTGTAGTTCCTTCTGCCGTTGTGAACATTTTTTCTGTTCTGTTGCCAATAAAGAGTACTAAAACACTTTATTAGACTCCTTGATAAACAACAAAATGTGCCTTTCCCTGAACAATCTTTTGCACCGAAAATTCTGCAGCCGTCAGACCTTTTACTGGTTCATCACTGGCATTGATCACTGATCATTTTTAATATCTCGATACAAATAAATGACATTTATGACTCGTTACAATGAATTAGAAGTAATGGCCTTTCATAGCGAAAGGGTTAAGAAAAGTCTGCCTAAACTCACTCTGGTCCATTAGGATTAGCCCTGCGCAACGCAAAGGACTTGATTTTCTCCCTCACAACCTGAATGCCCCTGTCATCGGAGGCATTCAGTTCCAGTATTCTGTCCTTGTACATGCTACCAAACATCTGTCTCGCGGCTGCGTGGATGATGCTGGTCTTGCCGGTACCCGGTGGCCCGTAAAACAGCATGTTAGGAAAATCTCCGTGTTCCATGGCCTGCCGTATCACGTTCACCACGTCCGTTTGCTCCACAATGTCGTCGACATTTTTCGGCCGGCTGTAAACAAGGAAAAGATGGAAATAAAAATATTCATCTTCGATCTTAATTCTTTTTTGCACTGAAAAGAAAATAATCATAATTTCTGGCTAGAAAAGATTGCCTTCTTGCGTGTGATGGTCAAGAGGTTAATCTTGCCGGTTGGTGTAAACTCACTATTTTTCCACCCATGGCGTCAGGTCCTTCTTATCGTCCTTGGCCCGAGAGGTTGAAGGTTTCCTGACGTCCGCCGGAGCGCCCAACTTCCCGGTCTTCAAGAAAGCGTGCATCCTTCCAATCGATCCAGCTGCACTCCGGCTTCGTACAGTTCGCAATGTTCGCACTTCGCACAAGCTTTCCCGCAATCCCGCCTACTCGTCGCCATCTTTCTTGTGCTTTTTCTTGCCGGATTTATACAAAGTCAGCTGGGAGACTTAACATGACTTAACAATTGTTGATACAAAGACAAGTATTGTATATACAAATATAATTTGTACGTTTATATTTATAACATATAAATATTTGAGCATATTTATCGTTGGAGTTGACGACAAAAGTAAGAGTGGAGACCTCTGTCTATCGGCCGGTCGGGAATTACGGATTCGTTTTTCCCAAAGTTTAGCCTAATTAATTAACGAATCTCATTTCACTTATGCTTGTTTTAATCAGTAAGATCAGCCGCAAGCTGGTACATAGCCGGATTTTGGAAAAAGGATCGAAATAAAATTTATAATAAATGTGGGAAAACGCGCAGCGCTAGACACGGGTCAGGTTGGGTCAGCTGCGAGTCCGTATTTTTTATTCATAATAAATTTTTAAGAGTTAAAATGCAAAATCCGGCTACGTATATACCAGCTTGCGGCTGATCTTACTGATTAAAATAAGCCTAATTTTAATGAGATTCATTAATTAATTAGGCTAAACTTTGGGAAAAGTGATTCTCAAGAGCAGCTCATGGGGAATTTTCGTGGTAACATACTGACAAGGGCTGTGTTCAGAGGTGCCAATTCTTTCTGCCTGGGTTTCCTGCAAGAACCAACTAGAAACTAATGGCAAGAACCAATCAGATTAAAGAATGCAGCCAATGGGCTCTTTCGAGCATGGGTCTGTTCGCGTTGCTTGCACTTTTTGCACTCAGCATCTTCGCTTTCTCTCTCTCCAACGGCCGAATATATATTTATCTCATTTCAAGTGCAAAAATGTTTGGGGATTTCAAGCAACGCGAACAAGCCTATGACACGTACGAATGGTCAACATAACCCAAAGTTGACTGCCAGATTAGTGGACGGTGTTGTAGTTGTGTCACTTTTGATCGCCGATATTTGACACACGAGATAAATCATGACTTCGCTTCTCGCGCCGGAAATCCCGCCGTCAGGTTTTTCCTTCGATCTCTGCCAAAGGTGAGAGTTTTGTCTTGTTTCGAAAATTTATAATTCTGGGAGTAATCTGAAGTTCTTCTAACTAACCTGCATACTGCTGTGTCACACATCAGTTTTACAAAAAGAAGCTCTTGCGATGTAACTGTCATATGTATATTGTAATATTATATATTTTCAATCTTTTGTTTTTGTGAAAGAAAAATTCCAGGAGTTTTAATGTGAATGTAACAATAAGTACGTGATCGAGTTGCTGTCTTCTGTAATGCTAACTACTGTAATTCCTAATATAATAAGTATCAAATTATTCGACAATTTTTATTGTTTAAAAAGATTCTGTAAATCAAGATTTATTTCTATCGAATTAATTATCATAGATTTGATTTATACATTTTTAAATTTAATTTGGAGTTTATTGAGTCTGCTAATTTTTAATTTATCTTGCGCAGAAACAATGCCTTGATCAAAAAAGGCTTTGCCGCTCCGAAAGTAGTCAAGACAGGTACCACCATCGCTGGAGTAGTATACAAGGATGGCGTTATTCTCGGCGGTGATACACGAGCCACCGAGGACACTATTGTGGCTGACAAGTACAGCTTGAAGATCCATTATCTCGCCCCCAATATGTAGTAAGTATCGTAAGCATCCTCTATCTTTACAACAAATCAATTTCACGAGCAACATATTAAGAGAAATGTAAATTATTTTTAGCTGTTGCGGAGCCGGTACAGCGGCCGACACTGAAATGACCACCGAGATGATAGCTAGCCAATTGGAGCTGCATCGTCTGAATACTGGCCGTGTCGTGCCTGTATGCACCGCCAATACTTTGATAAAACAAATGCTATTCCGTTATCAGGGTCATATCGGTGCTGCGCTCATCTTGGGCGGTTTTGATATTGACGGACCCCAGTTGTACTGCATTTATCCGCATGGTTCAACCGAGAAGTTGAAGTACACCACCATGGGATCTGGCTCACTGGCTGCTATGGCGGTCTTCGAAAGCAGATGGAAGCCTGACATGCCGGTAAAGAGTGTTTTTAATCAGTCGAGTATTCTGGATCTACAGTAATCGCTGTTATTTCAAGATTTTGAATTCAGAGAAAGTTGAATATTCAAATAAAAATTTGATAAATCTACAGTCTAAAATAATGTTTATTTTAGATATAACTCTGTGTAAACAGTGACAAATTTATCACGTTATTATTTATTATAAAATCTATCATTTCGTACATTAATGTTAATATATTTATATTTATATATGTATTAATTAATTTCGATTTATGTATATCTTTTTATATTAAGTAATGTATACTAAAATGATTTCTTATATTAAAAACTCCATGTTCTCAAATAAAAAATTGACGGTTTTTAGGAAGAGGATGCGAAGCAGTTGGTGGCGGACGGCATTCGCGCGGGCGTGTTCAACGATCTTGCGTCGGGATCCAACGTGGATCTCTGCATCATTCGCAAGAACAGCGTCGAGTACTTGCGACCGTATGACACCGCCAGTGTGAAGGGCGAGCGGCAGATCAGCTATCGCTACAAGTCCGGCACCACATCGGTGCTCACGAAAACAATAAAACCGATTGTCGTGGAGGAGGAGACAGTGCGCACGATCGAACTTATGGACACGTCCGCATGAAACTCCGTTAATTAATCTAGCGTTCTATATAAGCTTCAAATAATAATTTTTTTTTCAAGCAATGAGAATTGTCGATCATAGATCAATTCGATGTTTGTAATAAAGATATTACCGGGATTGCGCAGGAATAACTGTATAATTTCTAAATTCTGGTTCTGGAAGGGAAAGGAATAATATTTAAATTAGAATCAAAGTAAACAAGAAAACACATTAGAAGAGTCCAGCGGCCTGCTTGAGACGCTGTCTCTTCCAGGCCGGTAATTTCTCGAATTCCGCGGGTTCCATTTTGAAGATCGCGATGAAATTGTCGTAGGTCAGATGCATCTCTTTGCGTCTAACGTCCACGCCGGCCGGCAGGTTCTCCGGCTCGCTTTTCAGCACCACCGGCGGGTACTTGATGTAATTATCGAAGTCTGTGGTGGCCTTCGAGGTCGTCTGCGTCCTCGTCGATTGATCTCTATCTTCCAGCAGGGCGCAGAAAGTGTCGAACGGTTTATAATCCCTCAGCAGATTATGATTCCAATTGTCGAACAGCCCGATAAAAGTGGCTGGCTCCAAACCTGAGAAGCGACAAAAATAAAATCGTAGACAACAAAAAGTATAAAATATATAGATCTAAAGTTCTCTAACGGAGAAGTTTGAACAAACTTTAAAAAATAGGTCGGACAAACCTATAAAAGATATCTGAGTTAAGATATCTTTTATGTTTGTCCGACCTATTTTTTAAAGTAAGACTACTACGTCTTAGATTTTTACTTAAAACTTGCCAGTCCGGGAAAGATATTCAGCTTTAAGAATTTTTTTCGATTTTATATTGCCTGGAACTCACCTTGTTTGATCACAGAAATGGTCGTGTTGCGATTTCGACCAGCGGGATGAGTGTAAAGATATATAGTGGCATCCTCGACGCACTCTTGCAACGTCCTCGGGCTGGAGAACTTGCCTATCCATATCCAGATTACGCTGCCGGCGTCTAGCAGCCAAGCAGCCTCCGGTATCAGAGAATTCTGTCGGAATCCGAGGATCTGTTCGCCCACGAAGAGGCCGTTCTCGGTGCGGCATTGAAACAGGTGCTTGTCCAGCTCCTCGCCTATCTCTTCGGTCTCCGTGCTGTAGGCGCCTCTTCCTGAGCGGGACAAATTTACGCGAAGCAACGATGATTATAACGTCGGATGTGATCTTAGAAAAGTTTGAGCCGCGCCATATACTCATCTAGTTTTTTTAATTACCTCCGAGTTCGGTCCAGAAGTCGTTGCCCTCCTTACCCTCGGCAACGAGGGGCGCGTTTCTGGGCGCGAGGCGTCGCGACGTCTGTCTAGCGTCGCCGGTGCTCTTGCCGCCGCACCAGACGATCGGCGCGCTGGAGAAGAGAATGAACACCGCGCTGGAGTCCAAGCTGCTCGCTCGTAACGGACGTTCCACGGCTTTCGACGTGTACGGCGTCGAGCCGAACACTCTGACCAGATATTTTTTTGGCGCTGCAAATCGAGAATCTTTATTGTAAAAGATGGTATGATGCACCCTTCGAATTTCATTCATATATATTTCACATATAAATTTAACCCTCCGTAGTCACACCTATTTTTTCAAACAAGGAAGTCACTCTGGGTCATTTTGACCCGAGACGAACTTTGATCGTTCGCCATTTGACCATTTATCCACCGATCGTGTTGAAAAAATTCTCGAATGCACTTGTGATGTTGCTAAATTAATTGCTACAAAAAAAGAAGTGCCTCAGGAACTTTTAACATATAAAAAAAATTCGCGAAAAATTTTCGTTGTTTTTAAAAAATTTTTTTTTGTTTTTTGAACTACAGCTAGAGGGCGTCATGCCCGCCAATTTTCAAGTTACGCGCAAAATATTTACGAGCAAAGTTGAGGCTCGGGTCAAATTGACCCGGTGTGACTACGGAGGGTTAAGTATTCTATTTTCTCTTCGTGCACTATAACAGTGAAACTTCTTTTGATGTTTTATCTTAGTGAGTTGGGAGTAGACGAGCATAAACAAAACCATTTAAACCTAGAATTAGTCGAACAACTTTCTTAATATACATTTTGATCCAAATTGAGATCAGCTTCAATACCAAGTAGAAAGTTTCAAGATTCATAAAGGTCAAAAATTTTTGTTGCTAAAAATATTTTAACGATCAATACCTTGTTATTTTTCATTTATCGTTATTATATGTATATCTATATATTTCTTTTTTATCGTTATTTCTTTACACTTTTATTTAACCGAATTACAGTAGAGAGATACTTTACGCGAGTCACGGTGGCGTCCGGCGAGTATCTTGAGCTTCCCGTCGTAGATCTGCAATAGATGAGGCGGTTCTCTCCCTTGGGACGCCTTCACCAACTGCGCGTTCGTCTCTTCAGACAGACGACAAGCCACTGTCAAAGCTGCATCTCGATCCACTTTGACAGAGTGGACACCTTCCCAGCAATAAACCTGATGAAAATATAGTCGTTTCTGTTCGAATCTTTCACAATAATTACAACCACAAGATGAATGCTATACCTTCGCGTATGTTAAAAGAAATTAAAGTCCTCCCCCTTTTCCCAATTCTTGTGTGGTATTTAGAAAGTTACGAATGATATTAAATTCCTTTAATAGTTATGGACACGATTGAAAAACATTTAATAAGTTTTATTGACAAATTAAATAATTAGTGTAATAATTTAACGATACAAAACGAAACACGTTTAATGTTTACGTTTAACAGACTCCCTTGGAAAAAAAAGATTATAGTAAATTCAAAGAGTTCCACGTACAATACTTCGACACCTTCGCCCTTGCCCGTACTTGTACAGCATCACGTAGCAGGCTTCCGCGTAATAGATTCCCCTGTCGTCCTCCACCTGGACCATGCCCTCCTTCAGTTCGATCCTCCACAAGGTCCGCTCGCCGGACCCATCGTCCACTAGCTGGCACTCGGCCGCCATCCTGGGCCTCTCGTTCATGTAATCGGGCTCGAAGCTCGTCGGCAAGGTCAACGGCCTCGTCTTGGAGGGCTCCCAGCCCCTCAACAGCGCCTTCATCTCCGTCGGTTCATGACCTTCGTTTCATTTTATTCATTTTATTCCCGTTCGGCTATTACATGCATCGCGCACACTATTTTATTAAGATCTCAAAATTCTAAAAATTCTCCCGACTTACTAGCTCAAATTTTGTCAGTTTATTTAATTTTAATTTTATTTCAATTAATTAATTTCAATTTCTACATGTATAGTGTCGATCGTTTCCTTTTTTTCTTTCTTTCGTTACAATTAAGACGAATAAAACCTTTTGCATTTAGGTATCTGTATGTATTCTTAAGAGATTTTTTAAATAATACTGTGCCTCCGAGTGAGACAATTTTATGGCGCGATGAAACAAATTCCGCTCTACCTTCCGTCGTCCTGGCCACCGGCACGCCGTCGCTGTAGTCCTTCTTCTTGACGAAGCCCCGCGCGTTTCTCACGGCCTCCAATCTCTCCCGCGCGTTGACGTCGCGGCCCACCCAGGCCCAGACGCCGGCCTCGCCCCGGTCCACCAGGTACACGGCCGCGGAAGTCAGGTCGCCGCGCAGAATCGGACCGGACTTGAGCTCGGCGACCTTGTACTTGCCCGACTGCTCGCTGCACTTGTACAGCTTGATGGGGCTGGGGGGATTGACACGGTGCTGACGATCGGGCGCCACCACCCTCGCCGAGGGATCAAGCACGCTACTGAAGAGCTCCCTGTCGTCCGCGGGTAGGGTCTGCTCGTAGCCGTCCTCGACCACCACCACACGGCCGTTGTTGTTCTCTTTCCGGGACTCCAGGAGACTGGCGGCGTGACGTTTGTGCAGGGGATCTGACAGGGACCCCAGCCACAGGAAGACGATACCCCTAAGAATAAAAGAGAAATATCTTTTAACTACTCTTGTAAAACTCATGGTTATATAAAAGAAATTAAAATCCTAAGATTTTTATTATTTTATTTTCAAAATTAGTAGAGAAAAAATTATATAAATTGCTAAATTAATAAAGAAAAATGGAATTTAGAAGTTACAGAGTTATTGGGAACAATGGGAACTAATAACAAGAATTTATTTTGTGAAATTGGAAAGCCGGTGATGAAAATAAATTTTGCAAATTGAAGTGTTATTAGATTGGATTGCAATTTTAAACTACTTTTGTAAAACTCGTGGTTATATAGAAGAAATTGTTATAGGATTTTTATTACTTTATTTGCGAAATTAATAGAGAAAAAATTATATTAATTGCTAAGTTAATAGAGGAAAATGGAATATAGATTTTACATGCAGTTCTATCGGAAACTAATAACAAGAATTTGTTTTGTAAAATTGGTTGAACAACGGTGAAAATTAATTTCGCCAAATTGAAGTGTTATTATTGATTGCAACTTTTATTGTTGTATTATTTACGAATTAAACGCGCTTTTCTTTGTAAAATTAATAAAAAGAATTTATATATAGTTTATTAACTTTAGCAAAACAGCCAGAAAGTGGACTTGGTTTACAATCAATTCCTTATTAAAAAGAATTTATAAAAATCTAATAAAAAAGGAGATATCATATACTCAAGAATTTAAAAATATTTATTGCATTTTGACATTCAAAAGTAAAAAAACTGTAAATAAAGAAATAAAAAATAAAGAAGAAATAATTACACGACAATATTTTTCAGTTCTCAAAAGACGAAATATAAAAAATTGAAATTTTATCTAGGATATTCAACAACTCGAACAAAATTATTAAACTTTCTTAGACGTATTAAATTTCTAGGTGCTAAAGGGATCAGACCTATCATTACTCGGTCCTCGGTTTGCATATATACATTTTTTACACGCGAAAAACTTTCACCGGCGGATTTCGACATCGTCCGGCAGTTACGTAAAAATGATTCGCGTCGCGTAGTACGCGATCGCCCTGAACTGTCACGCACTTTACGCGGACGTCCATGAGGATGACGTCCCGGCAGCTGAAGCGCTCCCAGTGGACCCTCTCCAGCTCGGTCAGAATCGGCACGGCCACGCCGGAGACGCGATGCAGGGTGCAGGCGGGCGGCTCGTGGTGCAGGTTCTCCACGACCAGCCGCTGCCGGAAGTAAGCGAGGAACCGCGGGCTTTCGCGGCTCTGTGCCTCGCGCGTCAGGATCATCGCCGACGTCTGCGAGTCGAGCTCAGCGGCGCGGAGCGCCGCGGCGCCGGACGCCGTCGAGTCGCAGTTGGCGCCGATCCAGAAGTGGATGGCGCGCACCACCGAGCTGTCCTTCAGATCCTTAATCTATCAGAAGGAACCACCAGGAATATATTAACTAAATAATAAAGCGAATAAAAATAAAAAAGAAGAAAAGAAGGGCAAATATCTTTCTTAATGCGCCAAACTTTTTAAACGTCGCAGCTTATCTTTCATAAATGTAAATGTCTTCTTTGCATAGACAATTATGCGTGCATGAGAATAAGTTTATTTTCTTTGCGGAGGAGTGATTTGACGCCAAACTCGAAGAGTCAAAAGTCCGTGAAAGAAAAATCACGTTCTAATAGGGCGTGGATTTCGTTAGGCGAGGCGGTGCTTGCGCTTTCGTGCGGTTTCTCTCACGACGACGTAACACAATGGAAGTAAAAGTACCGGTATGCCCGGGTAAGGAAGTGCACCGTCCTTTGCGGACACGGCGTAGACGATGTATGCCGACTCGGAGAGGAAGAGGCCCATGTTGCTGCTGCTTACGACCGTCGCCCGTAGACCCTGTCCGACAAAAGCGAATACGTAACACCGAGTAAACGAGGCGTGAAATAAATAATTATATATAAGACTAATTAGAGGAAATTAATAATCATGAATAATAGCTAAAAATACACAGAAAAATATTCTTGATTTGAAAATATATCTTTTGTTTCAACGTGGAAATTTTGAAACAAGATTATATTGCGTCAAACAAAGAAAACTTGCATTGAATGAAATCATTTTGTATTATAGTTCAAACCATGAAAAGAAGTTAAATTTTTATGAAAAGATTATAGATTCTTGCGTATATAAGTACTAGTATATATAAATTTTTATTTGACACTTCTTGTTTTTTTGTGTAGTTAATAAATAATTGTAAATACTTAGTAGAAATAATAAATAATGAAATAAAAGACTAAATAAATTAAATATAAATCAAATTAAATACAAGATTAATTAGAGTATAAATTTAAGAAAGGGATAAAATTTGATTTGACTATTATAAAGAGGATGACGCTTGTTTTGCAGCCGACATAAAACAACTCATTTTTATCCATAACGATTTATTATATGACCAATATATTTCTAACTTTGTACATTAATCTTTCAACTATATACATTAGTCTTTATGATCTTCTTTTTGTACCGCAATGCGTATTATTTTTTATCGTTGAAGAAAATGTCTATGTCACAGTGTTACAGTTATTCAATCATTTTTATTGATAGCTACCTCGATCTTCCAGACTCGGAAGATGCTGCTGTTCTTCGGGATGTTTCTGAAGACCTCGCCGCCGGAATCATCGCTGCGACAGTTCCTGTCGTCCTGCGGGACGGTATTTATAATTTCAGGGTACAGCACGCTCGTCATGTTCGTCCACGAATAAATAATAACAAGGCTCCGGCTCTTCGAAAATTTCTCTCCTCCCGACGATTCGAAGCTTTTCTCGCACTTTATTTCTCAAAAATAATATCGCAGCGCAAAGTGACGAACAAGCCGAGACGAGACTTGAAGATCATAGAGTTTATCCAGCGATCGCGTGTCAAGAATGAGGAGTCGAAGCACTCTAGCGAGTTCTCGAAATCGTTGCGAAAAATTGCCGGAAAACTCGAAAACGGATTCTAAGGTCGACGGACGGACGCCCGCGTGCAGCAATTAATGGTAATTAATTCCGGCGTGCGCAATAACATTGTCGGCGATTACATTCGCAGGCGCGCGGCGCGAGCCGAGGTGTTTCGCAACGGACGCGCTTCGCGAGCGGACTGAAAACTGGGATACAAGAGCTCGCGAGAGGATCTTCGCCTCGCAGGTGCGCTCGAGTGCGTGCTCGACGCACCGCACGCGGCCTTTGCCGGAAGAGCGCTTAGCACATTAAATAAGTTTATCTCGAATCAATTTAGCTCATATATTTTCCAACATTGCGTAGTCCGATTTAAATTTGTATCGATCAATTAATTTGGAAGCTAAATATATCATCGGTTTACTTATAATTATTTTACTTAGTTGATCAGTAAATTAATTATTTGATGATCAAAATGTAAAACGATTCTAGTTTATTCAGTTAATTATTTTATTTAATTAATTAGCAAATTAATTATTTGACGATTGAGATATTAAATGGCTCGAATTACTCATTTATTGCTATAAGTTTTAAAAAAAAGCTTCAAAAAGTTATCGCTATCTAGAAACGTTAGAAGAATATCTAAGAGATCTCGAACGTTTCTCCCGGACATTTCTATGACGCTGTTAGACGTTCGCTTCGCCAGAGCGGTCGTTCCGGACAAATTACAAGGGGAATAAAATTTTTTTTAAATCTCTCATCGCGAGTAGCAATTGTCATTGTTCTCTCCTGTCAGGAAAATGTGCGGCTTTTGTGCTGCTCGCTTTCGGCTCGAGTTGATTGACCTGTAACCACATCGGATCCCGGTGAAGACGAGGGCCCATTATGCCGCGCCGCGCCGTCGCATTGTGCTGGTTTCGTTCGCCGCGGCGTGTGTGCGTGCAATGCGCGCGAGTGTGCGTGTTTATACCGCGCGATTCATTCATACATGAGGCCCTCGCATTCGCCTCACGCATGTACGCACGCACGCACGCACGCACGCACACGCGCGGCCCGACCATCATCCGCGACGATCATCGTCGCCGCGCGGGACAGGGCAGGAAGTCGCAAATGTCGCCCACATCTCTGCCGCGGGAATCGCGGCAAAAGGTGAGAATTCGCGGTCGCTCGACCGCGAAC